TTAAACCAGAGTATCAAGCCTAGTATCCTTTTAGAGAAAAAAGAAGAAGCTAATCTTCCAGTACTTGTCATCATTTAGTACCAACAGCGAAAGGGTGTATTGAAAATGACAATTTACTTAGTGAATTTCAATCCGAAGTCATTGTCCTATAGTGGCAAGAGAAATTCTAAGAAGAGAGGTGACCTTGGGCAAGTCACAGATGCTCTTTGGATCCCATCTTCCTCATTTGTAAAATGAAAGAACAGGATGAGATGATTTCATAGGACACTGCTAGTTTTACCAGGCTACAGTATATAAAAGCCAGAATCATGTTAACTTGTAATTTTTCATTCCAAGTTTAAGATCTTTTGTTTTAATAATTGATTCTTTATTCCTCAAACAGACTCATAAAAACACTGTGAAAAGTGAAATGCAACTCCAGCTGAATTGAGGTCAGAGCCTACTATAGAAAGTTGGAGCTGTTGGAGATTTTCCATTTACCTACTAGCGGTGCTTCTCTAGCTTTATCCTTAAAGTCACTGGACAGCTGACAACAGTAATGAAATTCAAGTGTAGAATCCACCGAGTCTGCTTTTCCATAATAAAAATCAATAGTTCCTTTCCATGGATGGACTACATTGATATATTTATCTCATCCAGGAATGGGCACGTTAGGGATGTTAACTCAATAAATCACAAGCTTGTAGCCACAGACTGGGGTTCTAGGAAAGACCGAAGTGCTGGGTATTGAATGGGAGCATGGGCTGTCGCTCTTCCTCTGATACTTCAGGTGTTTCCAGGACCTGTGAGAAACTTTCCTTTTAATTGTGACCTAGTATTAGGGGCCTTTAGGATATTGGAGGATTAGAATGAAGGTGGTTTTCTACGTTACAGCTGTGTTTTGTTACACTGCTAATTGTACTCAACTTCTTCCCCCAGGAAGTTCCTGGACTTTGGTTTGGCAGATCACAGTCAATTTGTCAAAAATGTTTGGATGCTTCATGCAAACAAGACTAAAGCTCTGTCTATATGCAAATAAAATTTCTTGGAAATGATGGCATTCAGTCAAATATTAGGATCTTTGGGGAAATAGTTGTTTGTGACCATTTGAATTTTGGTTCTTTAACTCAGTGAAACCATTTCTGTAGAGTAGCCTGAAGCAGCATTTATGAATTTTCATAAGTGGTCATTCTTGAGTCATTTTTATTTTCTAGAGTCTTTAGCTCTGGGCATTTTCAGATAAGCCAAGGCACAGTGGGATTCTGATTCTAGGTTCTGAACTCCTCAAGTCACTGTCAGACGAGTTTGGGAGCCTATGGATTAAATGTGGCCTCATGTAGAGCCCCAGGGGGCCTCCCAGTCATAGGTTCAAGTCCCATAGCCCTTATTTGTTTTAAGCAGAGTTATTGCCACCCCTCCCAACTCCCCCCCCCACCCCTGCCCCGCCGCCTCTCAACAGGTGAATGTCTAGCCCAGATCCTCCTCTGCAGTCTCTGTTCCATATCAGCCTGATCCCTCTGATTGCTGATGTCCCCACCTCACCCCAGGGAGATAGGAATATTTGATCTCACCAGTAATCTCCAGCCTTTATGCATCCTGGAGGTCTCAGATCTGTGACATCTTTTAATATTCTAAATAATAAAATAGGGTAGATGTGAGCTGTGTTTTCACAATACCACTCTAACCGATAGTATTTGGCCTGTGTATGTGATTAAAGCACATCTTTCGTGGTACATATAATATACATCTGCTTTTCACATCCTGAGAATCTTACTTCAATTAATGCAGCTTTTTCTAGTCTTGCGTTCGGGATATCAAAACTCCAAAAAAATCAATTCTTATTCCTTTCTACTCTCTCCTTCTCATGTAAATAGTAGCTTGATTTCTAACTCTTCCCCAAAATGGCATTAAAGTGCCTATGGTTCTGGGGAATGTTCTTTCTTATAAGAAAACAACAAACATTTGAGAGTGAAATTTTTCTGATACACACACTCACACACACACACATGTTGGGGTGGGAGTTTTGTGTCTTTTGTTTTCTGAATGCTGTAAAATGTTGTCTAGCTGATCCCTATTTCCATGTAAAGTTATAGGTGGTAATAGAAGTCCTCCATAGGGCTCACTGGGCTTATTCTTTTTTTTTTTGCATCATCTCATTCTCTTCTCCAACAATCCTGTGAGTCAGGTATTACTAACATTTCTATTTTATATACAAAAAAACTGAAGGCCAGAGAGATTGTTACTTGCTCATGTTCACACAGTCAGTAAGTATATATCCAAACTGATATCTGCCTGACTCCAAATTTGTAACTACTGTGCTCACTGCCTATGAATCTATTGAATCCCTAAGAGCCCCCTTTTCCCTCACCAGTTGACCTTTGCTTTGTGTGGGGAAGTGCAAGTGGTGGGGGCATGAGAGGGCTGGGTGTGCAGACTTCTCCTTTCCACCCTTAAGATCCATCAATCTCTTTCTTGGCCAATCTCTTGTTACTAACACTTCTTGCCACCACTCCAATGTCTCCTTTTGTTACTCTGTTTATTTTACTTTGAATGTATTACCAGTTAAATCTTCCAAGGGGAATAGGGAGTGAGCAAATAACGTTTCAGGTGTTGAATCAAATTTCAGATTTTGGCAGCAGCTTTATA